TTTAAAATTTAAGTTGCTCCAACAAAAATCCCCTGCATTATTACGTTTCAACCACTTTTGCCGACAACCATTTTTTTATTCCCGTGTGGATGTAGACATCAAGGGCTAGAGCCCAATACCCATTTTTACTTCGTTTTCACTTTTCGTCTCGCGATTTATTTTAACATCATTTCCCTGCTTTCTCAGAGGATTTTCTAGGAAGGGAACCATTCTTGTGGGTGTTGCTACTAAGGCTTACAAGCAATTTCCAGGAAATTCATTCTTCATTCCTAAAATTGCTTCTTCCCCATCTTTCAATCCTCTCTTCCTCCGTAAAATTTATTTCTTCTCTCTCTCCAAGCTTAATAATTTTCCAGGTAAGTGCATAAATATATGTATTTTCTACCATTTTCACTCATCTATTTGTTTGATACATAGATATAAATAAAATTAAGAAATTTTCTAATTTCTTCAGTATTTATTTTTTACTCTTTATTTGATATCAGTTCTTTTTCACCGAAGTACCTTGCACAAGTACTAAGGAGATCTGCCTTCTTTCTTTGTTATTTTAATCATACAATTCTTCAAGTCCCGCTGAGTTGGGACCAGGTATGTTATATTTTTTCGTATAAAAGAATTCAGAGTTTAATATTTTTCTTTTGATATTCGAGTTTAATATACTTTGCTTCTCAGAATCTCATAAAATAAAATATATCCAGGAAAAAATGTTAACATAAATTAAGTGTAAACATCCAAAAAAAAAAAAAAAACATAGATTACGTGTAACTGCTTTCCATGGAAAATACTGCATCGTATAAGTTATTGCAATATGCTTTTTTATTATCACTAAATTTAATTTGAATTGCATTTTTATGTGTTAAATAAGACTTTAATGTATTAATAGGCTCTTGTTAAATTGAAATGTATTCTACTGCACTTTTTTCCGCACTTTTTTTTTTTTCTTGTGAGTATACACTACCTTAAATGGACCTTTTAATAATACTCATTTTTGTTTTCTTTTAGAAAATTTCTTCATGGAGCCCATTATAGGGTCAGTTCTTGGAACTGTAGGCGAACATGTAGATTGTCACAGAAACTTCCAAAATGATGTGAATGATCTCAGAAAAAGAGTGGCAGATCTAAAACGCAAAAGAGATGATAAAGTAGCAGAACTACAAATTGTGGATGACTCAGAAAAACAGGTTAGAAAAGAAGTGCAGGGATGGCTTGAAGATGTAGGGAGGATCATTGAAATTGAAATGCCAGATACTGAAGAAGAGGTGCAGAATGTTTCATGCTTGTCGCGTGGTAGCCTTGGAAGACGTGTTCGTCAAAAGATTCAAGCGGTGATGGAAATTTATGACCGAGGTAGTTTCCCTGAAGGTCTTGTAATTGAAAGGCCTCCAACTATTGGAATCATTTTGCCAACAGAGAATATGGTGGGCGAGGTTGATATGAAGGAAAAAATTTGGGAATACCTGAGGAGTCGTGAAGTTGGAATGATTGGAGTTTGTGGAATTGGTGGAATCGGCAAAACCACTATTATGAAACACATCCATAATGAATTACTGAAAGAATCTATCGGGTTTACAAAGACTATCTGGGTCACAGTATCACAGTCACTCAGTGTTGTAAAATTACAAGGTGATATTGCTAGAGAAATGAACAAAAGTCTTCCGAAGGGCAGGGATGAATTGAAGCGGGCATCTAGATTGCAGGACATTATGAAAACAGTGAAATATGCATTGATCTTAGATGATGTGTGGGATAAATTTACTCTTCACAGAGTTGGAATACCAGAACCAACAATAGAAAATGGGTGCAAAATTGTTATTACTAGTAGATCAATTGATGTATGCAACTACTTGAGATGTCAGATAGTGAAGGTGCCTCCTCTTCCACAGCAAGAGTCTTTGAACTTGTTTTTAGATAAGGTTGGACACGACATTCTACTAATTCCTAATTTGGAAAATATTTTGAAGGATATGGTGGCAGAATGCGCTGGTTTGCCATTGGCCATTGTCGTCATTGCTGGGAGCATGACAGGCGTAAGAGATATTCGTGAGTGGAGAAGTGCATTACGTCAATTGTGTGACTGTGTGGTGGGTACAGAGAAAGATTCAGAAGATGAGATATTTAAACGTTTGAAGTTCAGTTATGACCGTCTAACAAATTCAAGCATCCAAGAATGTTTCTCATATTGCTCATTGTATCCGGAAGATTCGGTGATTCAAAGAGCAGATCTAATTGAAGGCTGGATTTGTGAGGGACTTGTTGAAAAATTAGGGAGCAGAAGAGAAATGCATGATAGAGGACATGAAATTTTAAATAGGCTTGAAAACAATTGTCTGTTAGAGAAAGGCGATGACGGATATGGAGAAGGTGTTAAGATGCATGATGTTGTGAGGGACATGGCATTGCGTGTTAAGAGCATCGGTCCAAGTAACTTCATGGTGAAAGCTAAAATGAGATTGACAGAGATACCAGAGAAGGATAAATGGAGTGAAGATCTAGACAAGGTTTCCCTTATGGACAATGAAATATCATATATCCCTATAAATATGTTCCCCAAATGCTTGATGCTCTCAACCTTAATTTTGGAGGGTAACGCAGCATTGAAGCAAATTCCAGAGTGTTTTCTAGCAAACATGCCCCTACTAAAGTTTCTTAATCTTTCTTATACTTGCATTGAGGCTCTACCTAATTCCATCTGTAGCTTGAAAAATCTTACAGCACTGATTCTCCGTGCATGTGAGAGTTTAGAACGCATGCCTTCCTTGTCAAAGCTTAAAGCACTGAAGAAGTTGGATTTGGATAAAGCGGGCCTTTGTGTGGCTCCTGAAGGCATTGAAATGTTAGAAAATCTAGAATATCTTGATTTATCTGCTCCAAAGCTAAAGGTACTACCAAGAGGAAAAATCAGTAAGCTCTTTCGCCTCCGATACCTACGTAAAGATCCGATTTTTTCAAATGATATAAGAGCAGAAGAAGTAGCAAGATTGAACATGCTGGAATGTTTTGAAGGTATATTTGATCAGCCGAAGGACCTCAGCAGTTTTGTTAGCGAGTTGAACCATTTTGGAAGACCCAATAATTACTTGCTCTGTGTGGGAATGGAGGGTGATCTCGAAAAAAAGGAGTGGGGGTATTTTGGGAAATCCAACAAGGATGATCTTTTAAGAAGGGTAATTTTATCCTACTGCAGGATAGGATACGAAGATGAGCTGGTGCTTCCAGATGACCTTCGGAATTTGTGGATTGCAAGATGCAATATGGTCGCTGATATTTCTATTTTTCTGAGAAATTTGACTCAATTGCAAACATATAAATTGAGCGGCTGCAAAGGGATAGAGTGTGTGGTCTCCTCGTCGTCATCTTCATCTTCTTCCTTGACAGCTATGAATATCCTTGAAAAGCTATGTCTTTGCGGTTTGCTTAGCTTGCGGGACATTGTGAAAGTAGAAAAAACAACAGCGTCGCTTGCACCGACAATATCCCCTCACATCTTTTCCAATCTTAAACACCTGATGGTATGGAATTGTTCAAAATTGAAGAAGCTATTTCCATGTGAGCTGCTGCAACGTCAAGGCCTCCAAAACTTGGAGCAGATTATGGTCAATGATTGCAAAGGGATGGAGGAAATAATAGGATGGGAAGAAGACGAGGCAGGAAATCAAACAACTACTCCAATATTGATCCCTCTTCCAAAATTAAGGATATTGGGGTTGCAATCCCTACCAAAATTGAAGAGAATCTACCCCGAAGGAGGAGTAATGGCTTATGATTCCTTCAATTCCATTTATATAAGCAACTGCCCTAAGGTCAAAAGGATTCCCCTCTGTGTTGGAAGGGAAAACGGGCAACCATCTCTTGCTGCTATGAAAGAAATCCATATTAAAAATCCAAAAGAATGGTGGGAATCGTTGGAGTGGGAGAATCCTGACGATGAGTCTGTCCTCCTACCTTTCATCGAATATAGTAGGTAAGTCTCATTACTCCCCCTTTTTTCCATCATTTGCATTCCATTCCTTCTCTCTCACTGGTATTTCATAAATAAATGTTTCTATCTCTTGTTTCTGAATGAATCCAAGTGTTAATCTCCGTTGATTTGCTTAATAATCTAATCTTGATTGATTTGCTCCTAAGATGTCTATCTCGCTAATACCATTTTTGATTACTCACACAGCAACGGTGATAACACTTGGGTAAACATTGAATATGGCTGTGTCGACCTGTATGAATTTTTAGACAGTTTATAATGCCTAGCCTAGCTCAGCTCAGGTATATATGTTTGTTGATTTGCTTTTGATGAGATGTCCACTCCCTTAATTGGATGCTAATTCCTTTTTAAATTATTCATTCATAGCGAGCAAGCTTTCCTGAGTCATCCATTCAATATCAATCAGGTATATATTTTTATGTTTTCAAGAACATGTTTTCTTTTTTTCTTTCCTTTTGTTGACTATTATTTGCATCCTTAGAATTAAGTGATTTCTCCGTACATGTTGATGCAGGTTGCATATCTACTATCTCATACCTATTTCTTCAACTCAGCAACATTTATACCAATGCAAGACAAAAACTAGGATTCACAAATCACACTCACATGAATGCAATGCCATCTCTGTTGTAATTTGCTGTTTAGTGTTCTGGATGAACTTCATTTAATTAAAGCTTTTTATTGTTTCTTTAAATAATTTATTTTACTTTGTTGTAATGAGCTCTAAAACAGATTTGACAAGCTCTTTGTTTAATGTATGTGACTGTTAACTATCACACTCAACATCTTAATTTCTTTAATCACATTATTTTTCCAATACCTACATATGCCATGGCAGACCAAAGGTATGTATGAATTTCTCTCCTATTTCATCTATCAATTTAGTTAAACACTCTCATGGCTAACTTGACCACTTGAGGGCTTGAGGCTTACAATCCTAATTGAGAAATATGGTTGCATATGTTCAATTAGAGTAAAAAAAAGTATACGTGCATCTCACAATCTTAATTGAGAAAGATGGTTGCATATGTCAAAATTAGGAGTTTTAAATCAACTTTTTTATTCTTTTAAGTCTTAATTAAGGAGCTTTCAAAAGGAAAAGGATGAAATTGTAATTTTTGAAAACCTTTGCACTCAATTGAACAAAATAGGAAACAAGCCAAGCCTCCAAAATCACGACAAATTAAAATTTGAGGGGTTAATTAAAGGAAATTCGAAAACATGGAGGATAAATTTGAAATAATTTAAAGTTTTAGGACGAAATTGCTTGATCACAGAAAGTTTTAAGCAAAATTGAAATATGAGGTAAAATCTAGTTGGCATTCAAACCTTTGACTATGATTAAATAAGATTAAGACTAATTAATCAAAATAATTGATTTAATTGAATGGTTAATTATGAATGATTTTATATTTACAATTTTTTTTCACTTTTTATTGAGCCAACCCACAAGACTATACCAGTCTTAGTGCGCTAGGCCCAATGCCCTTTTTTGGGTTTTTCTTTTATTATGATATTTAATTTAAAAGGCCCGTGGGGCATGACCCATGACCCATTTCATATCCCCTTTTTTAGGCTTTTTTAGTCCATAACACATAAATTTATTAGATCGGGTCAACCCGACCCACAAACATGACCCATATACCTAAACGGGTAAAAATAGATCAAAACCTAGATTGAAGTTGGGAACTTAGGGTTTATACTGCTCGTCCAAATTTTACCAAAGAAAACCTTAAATAATTTCATCAATCCATGACCAGATCTATGACCCCAACAAAACAGAATAAAAATAAGGCAAGAAAACATCCTCGATTCTCACTCACAATGACATCAATTCATATAGATCCATCCAAGCAACCCACAAAATACAGAGAAAAGATCAAAATCACTGGCGGGGTTTGGAGGGGAAGATCAGAGTCCGATCTGGGATACCCTACCCACGGGATAGTCCCCATATCCTTCTCCTCACTACCTCTTCATGATTCCTATATTCCTCACTACCTCTCCATGGTTCCTCTGCGCTCGAGTAGGTCTTACACGCACGACACGCGCCGGGGAGGCATCCTTTTGGACATCAGATCCGCCCTTCATGTCATCATTTTTCAGTGCCTCGGTTCTCCGGGATAAAATTTTGGGGGTTCAGCGCGGCTGTAGGTCAAGAGAAGGTTTTGAGAGCCAACCC